GTTACAGACTATTCAGGAGACCAGAGAGTCCATTGGGTGAAACAGGAGGATTTTATTAATGTGGCCACCTGCCCAGGGAATTAGCATCCCAAGGCTGAATGCCTAACAAAGACAGGGCTTGACTTTTTATACATCCGGGATGACGTAGCAGCTAACAGGCTTACAGAAGTGAGAACAAAGAACAGTTAATTAATTTGTAATATATCTTGTAATGTACGTTACCTTTGAAAATAGCATTTTGTGAAACGCATTGCACATTCTTTGGGTGTTATCTTGCCTTGTGACCTTGCAGCTGGTCTGCAAGAAAAATAGGAGTCTTGAGATGCCTGGGAACTTGCTGAGAATGTGGGGAGAATAGGTAGGTAGGTTTTACAGGGAATTAGTGAATTTCAAGCAGAGCTGAGGGTTAGGTTTTATATTGAACACACACAGTAAACTTTATTATATAGCAACTATAAATTATAAGGTTTTAGTTTTACTATTATTGCTATTATTTAATTTCCTTCTTTAGCACATTCCTGTAATCCAAGCTACTCAGGAGGCTAAGGCAGGAATATCACTTGAACCTGGGAGGCGGAGGTTGCAGTGAGTTGAGATCATGCCATTACACTACAGCCTGGGTGACAGAGTGAGACTGTCTCAAAAAAAAAAAAATAATAATGAACTGTAGCCTGGCTTGTAGCCCCAGCTCTCATGCTGACAGCTCCTCTCTATGGTATACAACTCTGCCTTAGGGTTAGAGCTAGGTCTGCCAGGAGTACAAGAAGAGGACTTGCCTTCAAGACCTAGCTTAGATAGGTTTGTTAATAACTGCATCCCTAAAAGGGACTCTTCTGGGCACAGATTATTCTTGGGAGTTGACAGCATATTTGGAACGTGTTCCTCTGGGAGCAGCAAAGCTCAGAGTTGATGGATGAGTTGTCTGTTTCCCTAGTGTCTGGAGTCCAAGCACCCTGGCTGCTTTCAGAGCTTGGAATCCCTGCCCATACCTCCCCAGAGTTTTCCCCTTTCTCTTCCATGAACTTCTCCTGTGAGTCGGGGCTTCCGTAGCTCTTTCTCTTACGTATACTTCATGGCCGCTTTGTCTCAGCTGCTGGGGCTACAAAGATGACCACAGCGGAAGTGCTGTGGGAGGGACACAGTGGAGAGACACTGATGTCTCAGAAAACACTGTGTGCCAAGTAAGGCATGGGATCAGCAAGCAGCCGTGTACTTATCTGTGGGGTGTTTGCAGTTTGGGTCAGTTGGGATGTGAGTGCAATGTAGGGCCATATGATGCTACAGAGACTGACAAAGACCAGATTTCAGAGGGTTCTGGGGGCTGAACTAAGGAAACTCAAGTTCAGACCGAAATCTGTGAGGACAGTGGGAAGATTACAAGCAGGATAATGAGATGACCGTGTTTTCTGTTTTTTGTTTTTGAGTTGGAGTCTTGCTCTACAGCCCAGGCTGGAGTGCAGTGGTGTAATCCTGGCTCACTGCAACCTCCGCCTCCCATGTCCCGGTTCAAGCAATTCTCCTACATCAGCCTCCCAGGTAGCTGTGATTACAGGTACAAGCCACCATGCCCAGCTAATTTTTGTATTTTTTAGCCAGGCTGGTCTCAAATTCCTGACCCCCTGATCCGCCTGCCTTGGCCTCCCAGAGTGCTGGGATTACAGGCATGAGCCATCATGCCCAAGCCTGTGTTTCTGTGTTTTAAAGATACTTTATTTGTATGAGTGCAGATAGATTGAAAAAATGGCAGCCCAATGAGGATGAAGGCTGTTGTACTGTAACCAAGAGGCTGGAGTGTCTTGTAGAAATGATGAGGAGGGGCCCGGGTGCGGTGGCTCACACCTGTAATCCCAGCACTTTTGGAGGCTGAGGTGGGCAGATCACAAGGTCAGGAGATTGAGACCATCCTGGCCAACATAGTGAAACCCCATGTCTACTAAAAATACAAAAATTAGCCGGCTGTGGTGGCCACACACCTGTAATCCCAGCTACTCAGGAGGCTGAGGAAGGAGAATGGTTTGAACCTGGGAGGGGGTGATTGCAGTGAGCCAAGATCTCACCACTGCACTCCAGCCCAGGGACACAGCAAGACTCTGTCT